CCCCTCCGCGTCCCCCGTCGCCGTTTCCCGAGCGCCGGGGCGGCGTGGGGCGGCACAGCGTCCCCGGGAACCCACGCGAGTTTGTGCCCACCCCCCAGCAGACCCCCCCGGTTGTGGCTCCCGATTCCTGCCCAGCGGAGTCCAACTCTTTGTCATCCCCGCATCCCTCCCCTCTGGCCGCCAGCTCCGCATCCCGCTCCGGCTGCCGGGACTCGGAGCTGCAGCCGTGCTTGGGGGCGAGGCGGAGCTGAGCCGCTTGGCAGAGTTTGCGGGAGGAATCCCAGGGCTGCTTTGGGAAGTTGCAGCTCCCTTCGTTCTGGATTTATGTGCGAGGACACGGGGCCGTGGTGGGGACACGGGGCTGCGCTGGGACCGCTCGCAGAGTCCTGGCGTGTGCCGGGGGATGTTTGTTTGGATGTGGATTGGGGAAGGAAGGCTCGGGAGGCTCCAGCGCTGCCCTTCATCACCGCCTGCTCTCGCTTTCCCTTTGGAATTCCGCTAAGCTGGGCAGCCCGGCTTTGCCAAGGGAATGCGGAGCGATGGAGCGAGGCTCTCCCCGCGCCTCCGAGCACAGCCAGCTCCTCCCGTCATTCCCTCGCCGCTGGATGGTGCCTTCGGATACCGCAGAGCGTTTCTCTAGTTAAACACACCTTTTCTTGGAATTCTCTTTTTTTTTTTTTCCCTCTATTAGCCAAGAAAAACTTTGCAACTTTCCTTCGCTGTCGGAGAGGAGCCACTGCCGCTGCTGCGTTTCATTTTGTTTTTTTAATTCGAGGTCACGTGTGCGTTGACAGTGTCTTTGATTCCAAGCGATGGTCTCGTCTCCAGCTTAGGAAGAGCTTTTGAGCTCTTCCCTCTGTTGTTTTCTCTCTGTTCAGGAACAAAGAGATTTTTTTCTGCCTTTAATTAAAAGGAATATTAATTCCCTGCTCCTTTGTCGGGCGACTTGAAGACACTCTGCAAACATCCGTCTGCTCGGCGCCGCGGTGGGCTGAGCTGTGCCGTGGCACAGGGCATGGAGAAATGGGGGAACCATCCCGAAATCCCACGGCAAACACGGAGCGGCAGCCGGGGAGGATGCTGACAGCCGCGGTGCTCGGGTGAGGAGCCCCATGGAGCTGAGCTGCCGCCTGGGGTGGGCTCCTGGATCCTCGGAGGTTTGTGAGGCAGGTCCCCGTGCTGAGAGTTTCCACGCAGGGAGAAATTCCGTGGCTGGGGAGGCGAGTGGAGGTGAATTTGGCTGTGCCAAGGGGGTTTTCCCTGCCGGCTGCCTCCCATGCTGGCAGGTAAGGTTTTACCCGGGAGCACAGAGATGTTGGGTGTGTTTTGTTTGGAAAACGTGAGTGCAGCTGTTGATTTGTGGCGGGGAGAGGCTGTTCTCCCACGGCTCCGGGAACTGGCGTGGTGTGGGTGCCGGCTTTGGGCAGCGGGAGCAGGATTCGCCTCTTAAATCGGGAACTTCCAGGATGGGAAAAACATTCTGGTGCTCAGCCCCACTCCAGGGGGGAGGGGGCTCTGCAGGTCCCACGGGGAGCCCGGGGCTGGCAGGTCTCTGCCGACGCTCCTGGAATTCTGCTTCTGAGCCACGGATGTTCGCAGGCGTGGAAAAGCCCAGGCAGGATCCAGGCGTTGTGGAAATGCGGTCTCGCTGCCGTAAATCCCTGCTGAAACCCGGGGCACTCGGCTCTGCCCGTGCTTGTGCGCGGTCCCCTGTCCCGCAGCCACCTCGGGAAGGTGTCTGGGTGCTGTGGGGTGCTGTGGGACCCCCGGGGAGGAGAGGCACCCCATAAATATCTGTTATTGCACCTCTTAGCGGGTGTCAGTGGACTGGCAGCGAGCGAAGCAGGAAGAATGCGGGGCTGCCATGGAGTGCTGGGGGACACACAGATCCCCCCACAGCACCACCGACCCTCTTCAGCCCCAACCGGAGCAGGGAGGGCCGGGGCACAGCAGGGCCGGCTGCTGTGAACGGGGCTGGGAGGTTTGGGGCACAGCCCAGGGGTTAAGCTGGGTTTAATCGCTGCTGCTGGGGCCGGGGGGATGCGCTCCGTGCTGCGGGTCGGATGCTGCAGCCTGAGCTGAGCTTCCCAGGCTGGATCTCACGTGGGAGATGGATTTAGCTGCCCCGCAGGATGGGGACCATGGCAATCCTTGCCAGCCAGACGCAGGAACAGGCTGGTGGCACAGAGGACACCCCCCTGTCCGGCTGGCCTTAGTTTGGGGTTATTTTTGGATTTCCCGAAGCTGTTTTCTGCCGTCCCTCCCTCCCACTGTGCTCAGGCTCCCCAGGGGGAACCCCACCTTGACAAACCCCCAGCTTTCCTTCGGAAGATGCCGACCGATGGTTCCAGCAAACATCCAAGGGATTTCCTGTTTATTTTTCAAATTTCTCATTAATATTTTTTTTCCTGTGTTCTTCGATTCAATTTCACACGGGCAAAATCGCCTTGAAATGGAGCCCGCGGCTCAAAAATAGACAAAGAGTCGGTGAGGCAGCAGGCTGGAGGCTGTGGGAGAGCACGGCCGGATCCGGCACCCCCTCGGAGCCGGTACCAGGCTGGCGCCTGTGGGGCAGGGTCTGCCACGGGGTCCCTGGGGAGCCGGCGGCGCCTCGCCGTTCCCACGGAGCCGGGCTGTGGAGGGGGAACTTCCCCTTCTCCAGCCGCTCTCGGTCTCCAGGATGCCCCGAACCCCCTGCGTGTGCCACTTGTCCCCGCTCCAGCCATCAGAGCCGCTTTGGGGCATGAGCATCCCCAGGGCTGCAGGAACCCCCGGCTGGGGCGGGTTTTGGGGTGTCCCTTTGGGGCAGGGTTTGGGGGGATGGAGCAGCCGGGGGTGTTTCCTGCCTGGGGGCAGCTCGGCAGGGTCAGCCCCAGCCCTGCTCCTCTCCAGGTGTTCCGGGCTGCCCGCGGCACTGTTTACTCGCTGTTTAGCCCGGATATTTAATTTCCAGGAGTGTAAGGCAGCTGGGGAGCAGCAGGGTGTGTGTGTGTGTGTGTGCCCGGTGGGATGAACCCGGCGGTGGCAGCGGGCACGACCCTGCAGCAGATACCGTGCCCTGGCTGGGTTCTGCTCAGGGGGACCCCCCAAACCGCTCCTGTGCGAGGGGACCCCCCCTCCCAGCCCGTCCCCCTGGCAGCAGCCACGTCGTCGCCAGCCGCTGTTGACTCACAGGCTCCGCCGTCGAGTCCCGGGGCTGAGGCCGAGATGCTTTTACAGGCAGGGCTGAAATGCACAAAATGTTCGACTTGTAAAATATGTAGCGTGAGAAAATAGCCTTTTCTGCTCTCCTCCTCCTCCTGCCGCCGCTCCCTGCCCCATCTGCTCGCTTGGAAAGCTTCCCGCAGCCGGGGGGGGCTGGCGGCGCCCGGGGTCCCTCGCCAGGGATGGCACCCACCCGCTGCAGCCGTGCCCAGGGGCTGCCCTCGGTGCCAGGAGGGCTCCCGGGGGCAGCACGAGGATGCTCCCGGTCCATCAGGATGTTGCTTCCTCTCGCCATCCCAAAGTTTCGCTCCGCGGCCGCGTTTTGAGGAGCGCGGGGCTGGCACCGGGGGATGGCGCAGGAGCCCTTGGGGCATCCCGTGGGGTTTGGGCTTCCCAAAACCTCTCCAGAAGCTCCCGGGAGATCTCCCTGCGAGGCGCCTCGGCAGCCCCGGGAGGCTGGAGCTGGCCACGAGCCACGGTTTTCACCTTAATCCATCATTATCTGGGCACATTTCGGATCCTTGCCAAGAGCAAGGTGGGAAGGGGGGGTGTAAGCATGCTTTCCCTATTCCCCTGCCATCCTTTTTGCTGCCTGTGTGTAATTAACAGAGTAATTAAAAACAGGATGAGTTAATTGGTATTCATTTATGTGGCAGATGTTTTTAATTGAGATACGAAACAATTTACCTGTTTACATAAACAATAGCAAACGAAGGCTTGTAAAACAGAGAGGGCGCCTTTTTTTATTTTATTTTTTTTTTAATTTTTTTTTTGGCTTTTTTGTTGTCGTTTCGAGGAAAAATCAAACCCGTCCCCATCCCCCACCCCTGGCCACGCCAGCTCGGGGCGAGCTGGCGCTGCTGGCACTGCCTCGGTGGCACCGAGCCAGCTGGTTTGGGTCCCTGGGTGGATGGCTTTGGCTTGGAAAGTGGGATTTTGTGGCGTGGGGAGCCTGGCTGAGGCTGCTGCTGTCCCGTGTGGAGCTGTGCTGTCACCACCACGCTGTGGGAGGTGGAAGGGGACCGGGATCTGGGGATTTGCTGGGAATTGATGGCCTGGAGCTGAGAATCGCCCGTGGGACACCTGCCAGCAGCGCTGGCATTCCAGGGATGTGGCTGCAAAGCGAATCGGGATGTACCTGAGCGTGGGGAAATCCTGGAATTGTGCTGGTGGGAGATGTCCCTGCTGGGCCAGCGGCACCAGACCTGTCTCAGGATGCCCGTGGGAAAGGTGGGGGTGAGCTCCAAGGGCTCCCCGGGACTGCAGCCGCCTGAATCTGGTGATGCCTGGAGAAGGCTGAGCTGGAGCAGAGGCTGCACAGAGCTCAGGAGAAAGCAGGGATTTATTGAAAGGCCCTAAAGGACACACCTTGGGCAGTACAAGAGCCTGGCCAGGGCTGCACCCAGGATAGACCTAAAAATGGTCATGAAATGGACAATTGGCCTCACATTTTTATAAGTTTTGGTCCATCTGCATATTGGGGTTGATTGTCCAATTACAGCTCCAGGTTCTGCAGTCCCATCCTGTTCTCTCTCTTCAGCCCAGCGTTGTTTCTGCTCTTGGGCCTGAAACTTGTAACGATTGTCCTTGGTACCAAGCTGGAAAAGGAATTGTTTTGTCTGGCTGCTCTGTGAAGAGAGCTCACTGACACTGAATATGAAGCTCTAAACCACACACCTGGGCAGGGCAGAATATGAAAAATATGAAAGCTAAAACTTAAGGCATCACTGGGTTCCTTTACAAATTGTGTAGTTTAGTTATTGGATTTACTTTTAAAGGGCTCCATTAGTGCTGATGAGTGCTGGGTGTGGATTGCTCCCTGCTAGGCTGACGCCCCAAAACGAGCACCTGAGACACCCTGGTGATGGGTGGGCAGCATCCCTCCAGCATCACCATGGAAACCTGGGATGGTTTGGGTTGAGAGGGGTCTTAAAGCTCACCTCATTCCTCTGCCATGGGCAGGGACACCTTCCACCATCCCAGGCTGCTCCAAGCCCTGTCCAGCCTGGCCTTGGACACTTCCAGGGATCCAGGGGCAGCCACAGCTGCTCTGGGCACCCTCACAGGAAACAATTCCTTCCCAATATCCCACCCAAACCCACCTTCTGTCAGCATCCCACAGCTGCACTCCTGCTTTCTCCTGCTCCAAGCGCACCTGGGGATGAACTCCAAGCTGCCTGTTGTCACCTTTGTCACCACGGCCCAGGGAGGGGATCGGGATGGGTGCAGGGGAGGAGGGAGCTGATCCCAAAAAGGGAGCCGGGATGGGTGCAGGGGAGGAGGGAGCTGATCCCAAAAAGGGAACCGGGATGGGTGCAGAGGGGAGGAGGGAGCTGATCCCAAAAAGGGAGCCGGGATGGGTGCAGGGGAGGAGGGAGCTGATCCCAAAAAGGGAGCCGGGATGGGTGCAGGGGAGGAGGGAGCTGATGGTGCCGTGAGATGCCAGCCCCTCTGCCGGGCCGGTGCGCGTGGCTGGCGCTGCTGCCCGGCCTCAGGCACTGCACGCTTCCAAACCTGCTCCAGCTGGGACAGCTCCGGCCCTGCCACCTTATCGGGGAGTTGTTCTTGGCCCCGCCGGCCGCGGCAGCTGAGGAGCAGGAATGCTTCCCTGCCTTTGTTTCGGAGGCAGCCTGGCTTGGGGAGACGTCGCCTCCAGCATCTGGATTTCATTTGTGGCCATTTGGAGAGCATGAAGGATGCTGGGCGCTGGATTCCCTTTAACCCCTTCTTGGCCCGGGAAGCTTTGCCTGCAGGGAGCCGGAGCCGCATCCAGGGCAGCTCCGTGCCTGCTCCATCCCCATCCCTGGGGAATGCTCATCCCGGAGCCGGGAGCCGCCACACCCCGCTGGTTGCCCCGGGACGAGGCAGAACCCCGGGCTTGTGGTGGCTCCCTGGGGCTGTGGGAAACAGCAAGCAGCGGGCTGGGATGGCTGCCAGCCGTGTCCCTCCGGCTGCAGCGCCCCTGTCCCCGCTGGAACGCCTGGCCGTGTGACAGCGTCACCCCGGCAGGGAGCCGGGCACTTAAACCCTGCGTGTGACAAACGGGGGGCTCGGGGTCACACAGGGGTGTGCGGGGGTCCGGCATCCGCTGGCCCCGGGGGGCAGGGTGGGGAACAGCCGCTCCCGCCAGCCCAGGAGAAAATACTAATCCTTTTATTTTTATATTATTACTTATTCATCTGGGCTGCACAGACCTAATGGAAACCAGATGGAGGAAAACAGACACGGCCCCGAGCGGCTGGGACAAATTACCCCAAAGAGAGAAAAAAACAGAGGGAAAAATAATTCCAGTGGAGTTGGAGTTGTGCTGGGGAATCGCTGTTTGAAGGTGCTGAGGGGAGGCTGCACTTGGCTCCCCAAAATCTCCTTTGCTCTCCTGGAGCTCATCCCATCCTGCAAAGGACCTGGATTGGTGGTACAATCGTGGTTGGGTCCTCTGGGCATTCCAGGCTCTTTACCCCATTGGATTTGGGACCGTTCCTGTGCCTGTCTGGCCGTGTTTGGGTTGCAAACACCTCAGGGAAAATTTAAAACTTAAAGAAAAAAAAAAAACCACAAGGAAAACCAGAACCAGGCCCCATTTCCCTGCTTGCTCAGCTTCATGGAAACTTTCCTGCTGATGGCAAGCTGTGGAAAAGCCATGTCAGTGCCAGGATGAACATATCCATGTTTTCCCCTTGGTGTGGGGATGGAGTCAGGGCAGCGAGGGGGAATGGAGCTGGGATGGGGATGCAGGCAGGGACGCTGCCAGGGCTGTGACAAGGACAGGGGTGGTGCCAGGGATGCAGGCAAGGATCCTGTGGGATCAGGGTGCTGCAGCTGGGACCCCTCACAGGGTCACACTGCACACTCAGGGCTCATCCTCTGCCATCAGAGCTGGATCCTGCTCCGCTGAGTGACAGGGGAAGCCTGGAAGCTTTGCCCAGAGATGGGCATGTCCGTGAAAGGGAAAATAAAAAGTGTTTTTCAAAACAAGCTATTAATTCTGGCAGGCCCTGTAAGGAAGCTGAGGTTCTGGGGACAGGGAAGCTGCGTGGTTTTGGGATTTCTCCTGTGGCTGGGAAGGGAGAAAGGAGCAAGGAACTGGAGCTTGCACATCCAGGTGTGTGCAGCATTCCAGTGTGCTGTGGACAGACAGGGATATCCATGGTGCTGGAGCCATCCAGAAGGATCCTGTGAGTGACCAGCCGAGATTTTGGCTCCCACCACCATCTCCTGGTGCACCATGGGCTGCGGCACATCCCCGATAGCATCTCCGTGGGGATGAGGCCCTGCTTCTATTTAGCCCGGCCAATGTGCTGTGGCCGGGTTCAATTAATCTCCCCACAGTTGCCCTGGATTAAGGATGAATATTGGATTAGTGGTTATCAGCCAGGCCGGGTGGGGACCGCGCTGGGGCTCGGGGGGACCCCATGGCCGGGGTGGCGGCCGCTTCCATCTTTGGCCGGAGCTGTCGGCGGCGCGGGCACGGTGACAGATCCCCACAGCTGCCAGCACTTGTGGCCACCCGTCACCGCCAGCGTGGCAGCCGCGGGGCCCAGAGCCCGCAGCGGGGCTGTGCTGGCCCGAGGGGATGGAGCTGGCACGCTCCTCCCGGAATGCACTGCCGGGCGTTCTTGGGGTTGGGAGCACAGGGAGGCAGGAGGGAGGCGGCGATGCCCCGTGGGGTGATGGTGGCGGCCGGGAGCTTCACCATCCCTGGATTGCAGGATCTGACCTTGCAGGGCCACTCGGGTCGGTGGGGACAGTCACTTGTGCACGTGTGGGTCCTGCCAGCAAGCAGTGGCTGCAGTGATCCCACGATCTCTGCCAGCCCCGATGCTGGCAGGGATGGTGAGGGGTCAGCAGGCAGCAGGAATTCCCTGGATGTGTCAGGAGGGTGCCAGCAGCGATGCTGTGACAGCAGCGATGTGACACAGGCTGGGCACAGCACAGCGGTGCCTGCTCCTGGTGCCAGCACTCTGTGTCCCTGCACAGGGCACTGTGTGGCTGTGCAGATGGGCAGCAGGTCCATCACCCTCCCCACGCAGGACACCAGCCGTGTCCCTGTCACCCGAGTTCAGAGTGGGAGCGGAGATGCCCGGGCCAGCCCGAGGTCCCCAAGTGTCCCCTCTGCCCCTGCCCCCTGTTTGCCAGGGAATTGCTGCCCTGCCTGGCACACCCCGCTCACCACCCCGTGCCCTCTTCCCGCAGATAACGCGGAGACTCCGGCCGCCACCATGCCCGACTCGCCGGCCGATGTGAAGACTCAGGCCCGCTCCACGCCGCCCAGCATGCCCCCACCGCCGGCCGCCACGCAGGGAGCCACACGCCACCCCTCCTTCACACCCAGCACCAGTGAGTACCATGCTGGGGACGGATGGGCTGCCAGCCCGGGGCTGCCCTGCGCCCTCCCTGCACCTCACACGGCACCCGGCGTCGCACAGCCCGGCACGGCGCTGGCTGGGATGTGGGGTGGCATTACCTGTGCTCGGGCTGGAGACTTTCCTCGGGTGTGTTCCCAAGTCGTGTCTGGAGTTTGTTCCTGCAGGGAGCACCGTGGCACTGCCCCTGTGCCCTGGGGACAGGGACATCCTGCTCTTCTGCCACCTGATCACCAAGTGCTGGCACAGAGCAGTGGGTGGCTGGAGGATGGTGGGTGGGCTTGGGGGAGTTCCTGTGGATCGGAGACGGCCCCGTGGCGCATCCCAAGCATGTGGGGACGCATCTGTGGCATGTGGAGACACATCTGTGGCATGTGGCACCCAGTGGTGGCAGGGCACCATCATGGCTGGGATCTCCTTGCCCTGCCCAGGCTATGGTGTGGTGGCATCAGGGGGCACCGGGGGGAGTTTCAGTCTCTGTAGTCGGTGCCAGAGGCACTTGGGCTCATTGCACACCCGCAGGGATCGAGCACTGTACCGCTGTCACTGTCCTGGCACGAGGATGGACAAGGCACATGCAGTGCAGGATCCAGACAGGCAGGGGACGAGGCTGACCCCGTGGCAGGAGTGCCAGTGGCCGCTCTGGTTCTGCTGAGACTTTTCCTGGGCATGCATGTGTGCAAGGATTTTACTCATAGCTGCTTCTTGCTCAGAAAAACCCCAGTGAGGAAGAAAAAGCCCTAAAACAAGCTCTGAGATCCATCCCCTGACACCTGCAGCCCCCCAGTGGTTTCTAGACAGACTCTCTAGAAATCAGCTCGTGCTTGGAGGGGGTTTGGGTGTCAATCCCAGCCCTGTGGCTGATGTGGCAGCCCAGGTGTGGCTGGGTCTGGGATGAAGGACCAGGGGTGCAGACGGCCTCTGCACCACGGCTCAGCACTGAGCAGGGTTTGAGACACAAGGCTGGGAGCATGGAGCAGCTAGGCAGGGACACCACAGTATTTCGGTTGTTCTTGCTCCCGAGGGACCTCATTCGGTCCCTAAAATGTCAGGAGTTTGTCAAGCAGCCGAGCATCCGTCCCCTGAACCCTCCCTGGTGGGGCTGGCAGCTTTGCCCATGGCACACGTGCCCGTGGTGAGGAGCGTCCCGGGCAGGGCCCCCGGCCGAGAGCTGCCCCCTCTGCTCTCTCATCATAGCGTGTTTTATTTTGCTTGCAGATCGAGACGCTGGCCCTCCGACGTTTCTGCCTCGCGGCCGTTTTCATGGTTGCTTGAAATGGTCGATGGTCTGTCTTTGTAAGTAAAATGAAACGCCCGCTCTCATGAGAGACCCGAGCGCAGCCGCAGCCCCCGGGGGCGCTCCCCGTCGCCAGCCCCTCGCCCTGCCCCGGCGGGTCACGGGGATGCGAACCCCAACCCCATCCCGGCCCAGGGACATGTGTGCTGTCCAACTTAGGAACGCACCTGTCGCGGGAATAAAAGCACTTGTGGCCGCCGGGTTATT